TTGGGCCCTGCATCCACATGGGAGACCAGGATAAGCACCTGGCTCCTGCCTTCGGATCAGCCATTGGAGGGTAAACCAACGGTAAAAGGAAGACCTTTCTCTCTGTCTCTCTCTCTCACTGTCCACTCTGCCTGTCAAAAAAAAAAAAAAAAAAAAAAAAGCGGAACTGGAGCATCATAACTCTAAAACCAATGTAGAGACAGGGGGCCTCTTGGCTTTAGCACAGATGAGTGAAATGTTTTGGGATCCAAACTACCAAAAATAGTAAAAAAAAGAAAGATATTTCCACAAGTAGAATCATTTTTATTTTGATTCAGAGAAATAACATGATTTCTGTCTTTTATTTAGCTTGTTTTGTATATTTTGGTTATGCTATTATGTGCTCAACTCCAAATCTTTCCCCTTTAAAAAGATTGTTGAGGAAAGGGACTTCTTTTTTTTTTCTTCCACCTTACTCACTTGCTTAGTCAGTTTATGACATCACTTTGGTCACTTCCAGATCTATTCTGTATCCACCCAGAATCCACTGGATGGTCTCACTTTGAGTTTACCGTCCTCCACTCTAAACTCATCTTCCCTTTCAGCCACCCCGTTGGGTTCCCTGTCATTCCCCGTATGAGAGCTTCAAAACTTCAGAATCGTTTGTCTCATAGCAGAGAAAATCAATACGAAAGTCACACTAATTCATTCTGAACATGATCAAGGACAGAATCAGCCACTTCTGTGACTGAAGTGAAAATGTAAAGATAATGAAACTGAGAGTTGCAGGTTTCAGTAATTAAATTGGGAGATTAAATCAATCATGAGAGCAGTAAACATAATAATATATAATGGTATATAAAGCATCAGGAAAAGAGAGCAGGATAGTGTTACTAAACAGGAGAGAGAAAAAAGGACCAAGGGTATTTAGAAGTATCACAAGAGGGGAGAGGAGGAGAATGGCAGAAGAAATATTCTGATCAATGACACCAAGCTGCTACAAAAGGCTACAGATGCCAAAGAGTTTCATAAGGACACAGCAAAGGTGGCCTTACCCATTAGCTGCTGTCCAGTGCAAAGTATGTGTAGGGATGCAGAACTTAGAACTCCTTGAATAGGTTCTTGGTAGAGCAGGCCAGTAAGATGTTCAAGAAATTTTCATTAAGTAAGTATTATACCAGAAATACATAAATATCTTCAAGAGCACATCACAAGAAAGTAAATGTGCTACAAGACGTTAGAAAAGAGAAGCTGACATGTGAGCTTCATTAGTGTTTGTGTAGAAAAATACAGTTACTCATATATTTCTAGACCACTCTATTCTATTCTACATGCTATATTATTATTTAGAACATATTACATGTTGTAACATAACAAATGTTATGATGTGTGTTTTGTTCCTTACATAAACATGTTACATATTATTTATCCATTTTATTGTAATTTTGGTTGTTTCCAGTTTAGCCTGGATTATAAGCAACATTCTTATAAAGGATCTTGTATGTATTTCCAGGAACAAATACTTAGAGATGTCATTTGTATTGTCTTCAGAAGTGCAAAAATTAATATGATTAAATTTTTTAAGTTTAAATGGAATTAGAATCTGTTTTTCTTTGCCTTGTTTTTCCTCCCAAAAGTATGTTTAAAAGATTAATACAATGTTCAGTATTATATATATTATAAACTCAGATGTATAAATATGTGATGATTTATATACACCTGCGACTTATGTTAGACATACAGGTATTTATGATGTTTGTTTAGTCACAAACTACAGTGTTTCTGTGTGTGTGTGTGAGAGAGAGAGAGAGAGAGAAAGAGAGAAAGGGTGAGAGAGAGAAAAAGAATGAACAAGCACATTCTCAACTTCTGTTTCACTTCCCAAGCGCTCCCAATAGTGAGGGTTGAGCCAGGAAAATCCTGGAGCTGGGAATTCAGTTTAGCTCTCCCAGATGAGTGGCAGAGACCCAACTTCTTGAGCCATCACTTGGGGGTTTGTTGAGCCTCTTAATTGTGTGTTTATTCTCCATTTTTGTTTCTGTCTTTAAATATTTTCTCCTTTCTACTTGTATTACATTCATTTTGTATTATCTTTTTATATAGGTAATTAAATAAGTATTTTAGCCTTCATTCCTAATATATGCAGTTCAGTATGCAAAATTTCCAGAAGTACTGATTTAGCTGCACCATTTTAAGTTTTGATATGCACCATTTTACTTATATTTTTCCCCTGTGAGTATGATTTCTTCTTTGAACAACAGAGCTTTGCAAAGAGTATTTCCTGATATCCAAATTTATCAGGGATATTGAGTTATCTTTCTGTTATAAATTTCTTTCTGGTAAAGACTTTCAGCTTAATGGTGTGTCAATCCGAAACCTGCCTTTTTAATTTCCATTTTTGAAAGGCACTGAAATGTGCATTCTGGCACAATACATAGTCACAGAGACAATAATGGTCAGAAGGTCTCTCCCAGTTTTCCACCTGAGAACACAGCAACCCAAGTCTGGCATCCAACTGAATCCTCAACCAAAGACAAGAATGCTTGCCAGTTATTGAGAATAGTCTCCCCTTTTCCCAGATCTTTAACCACATGCTTCTGAATCATGCTCACATCCATTGTAGCACATTTTTTTAAATAAGAAAATTCTCTTGGCTCTTTCTCTTAATAGTGATGCTTATATCATATACCATTAGAATCTCTTAAATTTAGTAATGATTTAATCATTTTATTAAAGACAATTATTGGATATCATTAATTCTACCATCTGGTTTTAATTGAATCATCTGACCAGGGGAGGGAAGGAGAGAAGGAGAAGAGGAAGAGAGAGAGGGATATTCCATCTACTGTTTCACTCTTCGAATGCCCACAATAACCAGAGCTGGTCCACCCAGAAACTAGGGGCCAGCAACTCCATCAGGGTCTCCTGCATGGGTGGCAAGGATCCCAAGTATTTGAGTCATCACATGCTGCCGCCCAGGGTGTGCATTAACAGAAAGCTGGAATCGAAAGTGGAGGTGAGACTTAATCCTAGTTACTCCCAAAGGCATGTTAATCTGCCCTCCCTTGCTAGCTCTCTCCAACTCTCTCTCTCTCTCTCTCTCTCTCTCTCTCTCTCGCTTCCATTTCCTCAAAATTGGTCATCTATTAACTTCTTGTCCCTAGTAATGAAGCCAAAAGAGAAAAAAGTCACAAATTATGTGAGAAACAATAAATAAAATTAGAGCCAACCAAAAAAAGAGAAACAGTTAAGGCTTAAGAAGTAGGGCAATAATCTGGCATTCTTTTCATAAATAATACATTTTAACTGATTTCCCATTATTTAAAAAATTTTAATGTTTAAGGTGGAAATACTAATTACTTGGATTTGATCATTACACATTGTGTACTTGTATCAACTTTTCACACTTTACCTCATAAATATGTTTAATTATTTTATATCTACTTTTAAAAGAGGAAAAAAATCAAAATTAAAAAACTATCCACTTTATCCTAACCTTCAGCATAGAATTATTTACTCAAACTTGTGACCTAATAACAGAATTATGTAATGTGCTCTTTTGTTCTTTTATAAGTTATGTCATTTCTTTAGCTCCATGCTTTAGAAAATCACTTATTTTGAAATATATATTTAAAGTAATAGATATCATTATACTTGCAATACATTTTTAGAAAGTCAAATGAATTTGAGATTAAAATTATTTCAAGAACATTCAAAATGAAAAGGAAAACAAGGACTGGTGGTGTGGTGTAGTTAGTTAAGCTGCAACTTGCAATGCTGGCATCCCATATCCACCAGTTTGAGTCTCAGCTGCTCAACTTCCAATCCAGCTTCCTGCTAATTCACTTGAGAAGGCAGTGAAAGACAGGGCAAGAGCTTGGGTCTCTACCACTCATGTGGGAGAATCAGATGGAGTTACAGGCTCTTGGCTTTGGCCTGGACTAACCCTACCTATTCTGGTTTAGGGAATGAATAGTGAACCAGTAGATGGAAGACTCTTCCTCCCTCTCTCTCTCTCTCTCTATCTCTCTGCAATTCAAATAAGTGAATAAATAAATCTTTAAAAAATTTTTTAAATGAAAAGCACATTTCTCAATAGATACAATAAAACAATTTGTATTTCCACCTAATTAGAATTTTCTAAATATATATCATATCATGTAAAACAAATGAAGAGAATTTATTACCATTATATTAAACAAAAGCCACAATTGTGCACTATTTAACAATTTCTAAGATTTTAATCGTAGTACATATCAAAAGGTAAATATGCAGATTTATCCAAATTCAACTCTTTTATCATTTAGTTTCCATATTAATATAATGCTTTTCACTCACATTTTAAAGTAGTTTATCATTTCTTTCTGTCCTTAATTTTTTTTTATACTGAGACAAAGTCATGTCAACTCATGAGTCTCAACAGAAGGATAATTAAATTTCTAGAGAATAAACATTGACCTGGATAATTTATCAGGCACCTCCACATTAAACCATTTGTTTGTATTACCCAAATATGTAATTGTTTTAAATCAGTGGTTTTTTGAGGAGGTGGAAATCCAAAATCAAAACGATGATATTTGAGGGAAAATTCTGATCACATTAAAACAAATATAATATCATAAACTTCATTTTGTATTTGAGTATTTAAGTAAATAAAAAGAGGAAGAAGAAAGAGAAAGAAAAAAGAAAAGGAAGAACAGGAAGAAGGAGGAGATGTAGGACAGGGTAAACAGAGGAGAAAAGAGAAAGAGGAAGCAGAGGAGGAGGGGAGGGAAGAGCAAACAGGAGGAGGAGTAAAAGAGGAGGAGAGAAGTAAGAAAAGAAAAGAAGGAAGAGGGAGAGCGGAGGAGGCAGCAGACACAGAAGGGAGAAGGACTGAAAAGGAGAAAGAAGGGGGAGGGAGGAAGAGGAGAAATAGAGGAACAGGACAGAGGAGGGGGAAGACAGGGAGAAGACTTTACTCTCTGGTCTGTATTCAAGACAGAACCCTTTGACTTCCCTTTTCCTTAAAGCTAACTCACCATTGCAGTTGCCATTGGAGAGAGAATTGAGCAACGTATTTTGTTCACACTGAAATGAAAACATATAAAGAAAAGTAAATATTGTAAAAATTCATTTATGTCTGAGAAATTAGCATATCTTTCTTTTCTCCATAAAGAATAATAAAAAACTCTACTAATTATGTTCACTGTCTTGTTCTCAGAATGATGTTACACAACAAGCTTTGATATAATAAAATTATTATTATTTCTAAGTATAACCATATACTAGTAAATAATTTATGTCATCAAGTCAGAGCATCTTTTTTTAGAACATTTTCTGCAAGACTAAATTTGTTTTGATTTGAGACAGAAATTAAACATTTGTACATGTTTCTCATATAACATATCCAATCAGAAATTTACATTAAATATACTCATACTCAGCTGGAGAGCCCTTGATCATATATTTCATATTACACAAAAGAGAACCATTTATCTCCAGCTCTATGAAAATGCCTGAGAAATATTTCTGACTTACAGAAATGCTAGAGATGTAAATGGCTCTGCCTCGGAAGATTCCTGACGTCATAAATAAGAGTGCCAATTGCTAAATCAACAACAGGAGTCACTGTGCACTTACTCTCTACGTAGGATCTCTGTCCTTAATGTGTTATACTATGGGAATTAATGGTAAAACTAGTATTCAAACAGTATGTTATACTTTGTATGTAGATGTGGGTGCAATCTGTTGAAATCTTCACTTAGTATTAACCAAGTTGATCTTCTGTATATAAAGATAATTAAAAATGAATCTTAATGAAGAATGGGATTGGAGAGTGATTAGGAGATGAGATGGTTTGCAGGTGGGAAGGTGGTTATGGGGGGAAAAACCGCTATAATCCAAAAGTTGTACTTTCAAAATTTATATTTATTAAATAAAAGTTAAAAAAAGAAAATGTTTCTAGAAAAGACCCGGGAGGCACAGGCAGTCAAAGCCAAAATCAACTATTGGGATTGCATCAAATTGAGAAGTTTCTGTACTGCAAAAGAAACAGTCAGGAGAGTGAAGAGACAACCGACAGAATGGGAAAAAATATTTGCAAACTATGCAACAGATAAAGGGTTAATAACCAGAATCTACAAAGAGATCAAGAAACTCCACAAAAACAAAACCAACAACCCACTTAAGAGATGGGCCAAGGACCTCAATAGACATTTTTCAAAAGAGGAAATCCAAATGGCCAACAGGCACATGAAAAAATGTTCAAGGTCATTAGCAATCAGGGAAATGCAAATCAAAACCACAATGAGGTTTCACCTCACCCCGGTTAGAATGGCTCACATGCAGAAATCTACCAACAACAGATGCTGGCGAGGATGTGGGGAAAAAGGGACACTAACCCACTGTTGGTGGGAATGCAAACTGGTCAAGCCACTATGGAAGTCAGTCTGGAGATTCCTCAGAAACCTGAAGACAACCCTACCGTTCGACCCAGCCATCCCACTCCTTGGAATTTACCCAAAGGAGTTTAAATTGGCAAACAAAAAAGCGGTCTGCACCCCAATGTTTATTGCAGCTCAATTCACAATAGCTAAGACCTGGAACCAACCTAAATGCCCATCAACGGTAGACTGGATAAAGAAATTATGGGATATGTACTCTTTAGAATACTATACCACAGTAAGAAACAACGAAATCCAGTCATTTGCAACAAAATGGAGGAATCTGGAACACATCATGCTGAGTGAAATAAGCCAGTCCCAAAGGGACAAATACCATATGTTCTCCCTGATCGGTGACAACTGACTGAACACCAAAAAGGAAACCTCCTGAAGTGAAATGGACACTATGGGAAACGGTGACTTGATCAGCATAGCCCTGACTGTTAATGAACAACTTAATACATTATCCCTCTTAGTAGTTTTTTTGTCTGTTCTACTTAATATGACTGGTTTAATTCTGTAATTAATACACAGTTATTCTTAAGTGTTGAAAATTAACTGAAATGTGATCACTGTTAAACATAAGAGTAGGAATAAGAGGGGGAAGAGATGTATAATTTGGGACATGCTCAAGCTGACTTGCCCCAAATGGTAGTTAGAAACATACCAGGGGATTCCAATTCAATTCCATCAAGGTGGCATGTACCAATGCCATCTCACTAGTCCAAGTGATCAATTTCAGTTCAGAATTGATCATAATGAAAGGACTAAGAGTGAAAGGGAGCACATAAACAAGTCTAGTACCTGCTAACACTAACCAATAGAATAAATAAAGGGGAGAGTGATCCAACATGGGAAGTGAGATACTCAGCAGACTCATAGAATGGCAGATGTCCTAAACAGCACTCTGGCCTCAGAATCAGCCCTAAAGGCATTCCGATCTGGCTGAAAAGCCCATGAGAGTATTTCAGGCATGGAAAGCCAAGACATTCTGGCAAAAAGATCTCTGTGAGTGAGATCCCAGTGGAAAGAACAGGTCTTCAAAGAAGGAGGTACCTTTCTCTGAAGGGAGGAGAGAACCTCCACTTTGACTATGACCTTGTCTAAACAAGATAAGAGTCGGAGAACTCAGAGGGCTTCCATAGCCTTGGAAACTCATGACTGGAGCATAGGGAGACTACTGATGCCATAGACAGGAGTGTCAATTGGTAAAGTCAACAACAGGAGTCACTGTGCACTTACTCCTCATGTAGGATCTCTGTCCTTAATGTGCTGTGCATTGAGATTTAATGCTATAACGAGTACTCAAACAGTATATTTCACTTTGTGTTTCTATGGGGGTGCAAACTGTTGAAATCTTTACTTAATGTATACTAAACTGATCTTCTGTAAAAAAAAAAAAAGAAATTATCAATTCCCAACTTGACTCTCACTGGGATTAAACATGACAATAGGTCTGATCTGATTTCATCATCATTTAAAAAAATCATCTATTATTTTTCACTTTATGTTTCTGTGTGGGAGCAAACTGTTGAAATCCTTACTTAATGTATACTAAGCTGATCTTCTGTATATTAAGATAATCAAAAATGAATCTTGATGTGAATGGAAGGGGAGAGGGAGTGGGAAAGGGGAGGGTTGTGGGTGGGAGGGACGGTATGGGGGGAAGCCATTGTAATCCATAAGTCGTACTTTGGAAATTTATATTCATTAAATAAAAGTTTAAAAAAAAAAAGAAAATGGCTCTGTATCTCAGTTAAGCTTCTCTGATCATCACTGATAACCTCTGACAAGATCAGATGCTGTCTACTTCTCAAATAATGGATCATTATTTTTGTTAATGATGATGATAATGATAGTAACTGACATTTCCTCTGAATTCATGGTGCATCATGGACTTTATATTACCATGGAATCCCCAGAACAATCCTATGAAGATATTGACCTCATTTGCTGCAGCAGGGACTTAAACATTAGAAATGTTAGGTAATAACATGTTAAGTCACAAAGCTAGTAAGGGCATAGGCCACAACCAAAGCATTTGCCTTTCTAATCTCAAACCTTGTGTTCCTGGCCACTGCATTTAATGCTTCTCTTGTGAAATCAGTTTTCATCAAATGGTGGCCTAGGAAACTTCTATTTTCTCTTCTTCATGGGCAAAGGTGCAGCTTACATAGTTTAAGACTGGCTCTTACAGTTACTAGCTGCACCATTTCCACTGGGTTATTTTACATTTCTAAGTCTCAATCTTCCTTCTATGTCACATTAAGACACTGTCACTGACATTGTGGGACTGGTGATGATTAAGTTAGGCAGCCTAATTAAAAAGATTAGCCCCTTAGAAACACTCAACAAATGTGAGTTTGCCTTCCCTCCTCTTAAATATATTTCATCTGACATCTCCTAGACAGAATAATTTCCTATAATTTATATAGACACTTCACACAACTCCACACACCTTAAGTGTGGGCTGCACACAGGGACTCATTTCCAAAAACTACCATGTGAAAATGGAGAAAATAGAGCAATTGTGCAGTGGAGAAAGCTAGCAAACACTACCTCAAGGTGCTCAATATTTCCACAAACAAGAATAGTCCAAGTTCATAATATTTATTCTTTTTAAAGCACATTTATATAAAGAGAACAGATTTCATGTATTTCATATCTACAATTTTAAGCACTTAAAATTGTATATACTTCTCACCCTCCCTCTCTCCATCCTTCTTCCTTTCTTTGTTTTTCTTCCCTTTAATTTTTGACACAACACACTTTCAATGTACTTTAGAGTCACAGGCTTAATTGTCCACTAAGTAAAGAATTCAACAAGTAGAAAATAGAAACACGACTGTTACACAGGAGTATAGACAAGAGCTATCAAATATCAAATAATCAAATAACAAGATGTCAATTTCAGTAATACATGTTACATGTTTGTACTCTATATTGGCTACCACAAATCAAAGAAAAATATAGGTATTTGTCTTTTTGAGTTGGGCACTCTTGATATAATGAGAAGGGTATAATGAGCTCTATAATGTCCTTAAAAGTAAATACCTGAATAATGCTACTATAAATTGTCAGAGTTGTCAAACAATTTGAAATCCATTTTGGAAAACAGAACGAAAGTTCCTCAAAAAATTGAAAATAGAACTACCATGTGATCCAGCAATCTCCCTACTGGGTATACATGCAAGGGAAATAAAATCAGTATGCCAAAGAGCCACTTGCACTCTAATGTTTCTTGCAGCAAAATGCACAATAGCCAACAAATGGAAGGTTGATGTACAATGTAATACTTTATCCATTTTAGTATTTTTTTTTTTGTTCTAGTACCATTGGTTGAACTCTGTAATTAACACACAATTATTCTTAGGTGTTTAAATTTGAACTCAAAAGTGATCCCTGTTAGGAATTTGGAAAACATTATGCTGAGTGAAATAAGCCAATCCCAAAGGGACAAATACCACTTGTTCTCCTTGATAGGTGACAACTAACTGAGCACCAAAAAGGAAACCTGTTAAAGTGAAATGAACACTATGAGAAACGGTGACTTGATCAGCCCTCACCCTGACTGTTGATGAGCAACTTGATATGTTATCCCTCTTAGTATTTTTTTTTGTTTGTTCTACTTAATACTTTTGGTTGAATACTGTAATCAATACACAATTCTTCTTAAGTGCTGAAACTTAACTGAAAAGTGATCACTGTTAAATATAAGAGTGGGAATAAGAGAGGGAAGAGATGTGCAATTCGGGACATGCTCAAGCTGACCTACCTCAAACAGTAGAGTTAGAAACATACCAGGGGATTCCAATTCAATCCCATCAAGGTGGCATGTACCAATGCCATCTCACTAGTCCCAGTGATCAATTTCTGTTCACAATTGATCGTAATGATAGGACTAAGAACCAAAGGGATCACATAAACAAGACTAGTGTCTGCAAATACTAGCTGATAGAATAAAAAAGGGAGAGAATGATCCAACATGGGAAGTGAGATACACAGCAGACCCATAGAATGGCAGATGTCCTAAACAGCACTCTGGCCTCAGAATCAGCCCTTAAGGCATGCGGATTTGGCTGAAAAGCCCATGAGAGTATTTCAGGCATGGAAAGCCAAGACACTCTGGAAAAAAAAAAAAAAAAAACCACCTAAATGAAAGATCTCCGCGAGTGAGATCCCAGTGGAAAGAACAGGTCATCAAAGAAGGAGGTACCTTTCTCTGAAGGGAGGAGAGAACTTCCACTTTGACCATGGCCTTGTCTAAATATGATCAGAGTCGGTGAACTCAGGGGGCTTCCATAGCCTTGGCAGCTCATGACAAGAGCCTAGGGTGATTACTGAGGCCATAAACAAGAGTGTCAATTTGTTAAGTCAACAACAGGAGTCACTGTGCACTTACTCCTCATGTAGGATCTCTGTCCTTAGTGTGCTGTACATTGAGACTTAATGCTATAACTAGTACTCAAACAGTATTTTTTACTTTATGTTTCTGTGTGGGAGCAAACTGTTGAAATCTTTACTTAATGTATGCTAAACTGATCTTCTGTATATAAGGAGAAAAGAAAATGAATCTTGATGTCAATGGAAGGGGAGAGGGTGTAGGAAAGGGGAGGGTTGCAGGTGGGAGGGACGTTATGGGGGGGGAAGCCATTGTAATCCATATTCTGTACTTTGGAAATTTATATTCATTAAATAAAAGCTAAAAAAATAAAAAAATAAAAAAAATAAAGAAAGAAAGTGTGGTACGTATACACATTCAAATAAACATGGATAGAACTGGAGGCCAATTTGTTAAGTGAAATAAGCTAAGCACAGAAAAAGACAAGTATCACATGATCTTCATATCTGGAATCCAAAAAAAGTTGATCTCATAGAAGTTGAGAATGTAAGAGTGATTATCAGAGGCTGGGGGAGAAAGGGGAAAGAAGGGATAGAGAAGGCTGTTTAATGGTTTGAGTTGTACTTAGGAGAAAGTTTTGATGTTCTATTACACAATAATGCTATAAGGTGAGTATAGATAGTGATAATATACTACTATTTCTTTATTAAAAATAGAAGAAAGGATTTTGAATAGTTTCACCATAAAGAAACATTAAATATCTATATTACACAGTGTTTTCATATGTTGACACATCACATGATACCCCATAAATATGTACAATTTTTATGTGTTAATTTTTTTAAAAAAATTAAAAGACAAATTTGGGAAACTGTCATAGTCAAGAGGCACATAGGAGCTGTACAAGTAAATGGAACATGATGTATATGATATCCTGGAACGAAAAAAATGACATTAGGTAAAACTGAAAAAAAATGAGTGAATCACAAACTTTCACTCATGGTAACAAAACTAATTTGGAAGTTGTAACAAATATGCCACACTAGTACAAGATGATGATAATAAGGGGCCTGGGTGTGATGCATGTAGGCTCTTTATATTATCTCTCAATTTTTCCATAAATTGAAACTTTCAAAAAATAAAATGGATTTATAAAAATATACCTTGCTGAACAAGAAAAAATTGGGGGTAAATAACAAATCAATTCTTTTCTTCAGAAGAGGAGCCACAAAATGGTGATTAATATTATTTTGTGAGTATCTGTAGTCTATAAATAATATGTAGGACTCCATCAAACATTAGTATCCTAAGAGCTCCTAACTTTTGTATTATGGCTTATATTGCCACAGTATAACAAAACTATAGATCTTTTACAGTTTGTGCTTTGGAATATTTTAAACGACCCTTCCATCACCAGTGCCTGTTGAAAATACATCTGTCAGAGTAGAGAAGACACGGGTATCAGCCAAGTACAGTGGTTCAAGACAGCATACTCAGCATAATGGCAGCAGGAAAAGATGCAGTTGAGATCCACTGATGCAGACTCATTATCTAAAACTGAACTTGGAATAAATGCATAAGCTTTAAACCAAGAAACAAATATCCTTGACAGATAGCACATGACAATAACAGGAGATGCAGTTCCAGACAGCCCATTTAACCTTTTTATATGAAGGTTTATCCCCAGTTCCTCAGACAGCAGCTTTCCAGATGGCCATCTGAATCTTTGATATATCCTTTAAAATTTATGGCATGTACATAATGTTTGCATTGTTCTCATCTAGTAGAACTCAGTCTTAACAGATCCTTTTTTTAGCAGCAGAAAGTTCAGAGTTAAATAATACCCTTTGCTGTCATTACCTATCCATAACTTGAATTCAAGCAATTCTATTTGATTATTAGATTCACATTTCTAAACTTCCGTGAAGACAGAGTCATAAATGGGATATCTCCTCACTGGAGATGCTGTTTAAGAGGTTTATTTCTGATTAGACATGCTACAAAATCAGCACATGCTAATTTTCAACTCCTGAAAATAAGTTGGAGTAAACTTAATCTTGCAGGGCAACATTCTAAAGAAAAACTATTAATTATCAATAAATGATTAGCTAAAAGAATTTTGCAGTAAACCTAATAAAGGCCATACAGTAATATATAATTTCAAGAAGTAAATTTGCATCTTTGAAAAAAAAGACAACAAACTTCTTGCAATTTAATTAGTTGGAACTTTGAACAAATCCTGTTAGGCATGGTAGCTTTTTAGTTTAACATTAGTCCACGAGAACCCACATAACATAATATGGCTTAGGACTGCCATAATATTTAACATGAATTTGTGAAAGAAATAGGCCTAGTATTTACCTGAACAACTAAAAATATACTTCCCCCTTTGGCAACAGAGCAAATTCTTCTCAACCCAAATCTATCGGTGGTGATTCCCAGTACTGTGCTGAAAATCAAACCCTAAGAAGTTCAAGGAGGAATTAAGAGAGGTCCAGTGATAGATATAGTCAAGGGCCAGTGTCATGCTTGCAACCTTTGCACTTGCACATGGCCTCGTGCTTAGAAAGGTCTCCAATTTGGTTTAATGCTGTGCTGTCATCAACTTGAAACTACCAATAACTTTTAAAAAGGGGTCTAACATTTCACTTTGCCTGGATCCCTGCCAATTATTTATATGATCCTAGACGCAAGACTTCCATGATATGGATCATGGTGAGACCCAAAAGCAGCAGTGTGAAGCTGTAAGAGGCAGGGATGTAATTCAGAAAAACTCCTTACACACAAGAAATGGGGCAGCTAATATTTCTTATGTATTTGAGTGACTGAGAGATAACAAGTGCCTATGAATATAAGAGAAAGAGAGGAGGGAGCAACCATGCTGATGATAATAAGACAATTTTTCAGTATAGAGTAGGTCACAAACTATTCTGAATGCTTTGCATTGTGTAAATTAGCTCATTTAAAAAAAAAAAAAAAAAAACCTCAGTTACAGAAAAGGAAACTGAAAAACAACATTCAATAACTCAGTTAAGATACCATAGTTAGGGGTTGGAATTGTGGTGTAACTGGTAAAACTGCCACCTGAGACACCAGCATCTCACACAGGCACTGGTTCAAGTCCCAGCTGCTCCATTTCCAATCTAGCTCCCTGCTAATGTGTCTGGGAAGGCAGTAGAAAATGGCCTAAGAGCTTGGGCCCCTGCACCCACATGGGAGATCTGGATAAAGTTCCTTGTTCTTGGGTGTGGCCTGGCCCAGGCCTGGCCATTGTGGCCATTTGGGAAGTAAGCCATAAAATAGAATCTCTCTCTGTCTGTCTGTCTCTCTCTCTCTCTCTCTCTCTGTAACTCTGCCTTTCAAATAAATAAATAAATCTTAAAAAAAAAAAAAAAAAGATCTCACAGTTAGTAGGTGGTAAACCCAGTCAGCTTAGTTACTGATTCCATGATCTTAATATTGCAGCAGGGTTAAGGATACAAACAAATGATGACTGAAGGGTTATTGACATTAAATCACACTAATGCACTTGATTCAGTGTTTGGTAACTGTCATGACTTAGGAAGATAAAGTTTGCTAAATTTTATAATAATGATAAAAATTGTTTATTCTTTTCTTAAGTCATTTATCATGTTCTAACACATGGGTTGCATTTAACATTTTTCTTCTTAAAAGTTCCCTTTAAACTATATTATTTGTTTTATTTGTTCTTCTCTGGGCTGTAGGACCTACTATACATGTCCTTTAGATATATATTGAATGAATGAATCAATGAGTGAACAAGACAGTGATAACCTAAAAGCTAACTATAAGAACAAAATAAAATATAAAATAAAATATTAGGTCTTGCTGAGAGGGAAAAAATCTCCAGACAATTTGATAATGCATTGCTATTTATACAATATATTTTTTATTTCATGATTACCTATAGTATGACACCCTAATTTGAAACCACTTCTCTTACCTTGCTGATATCATCAAGTGCCTGGCTATTGACATTTTCCTTTTGGATGATGTTCATTACATCAGTACGAAATTTCTTGGCATTAAGGAAAACAAGTGGGTTGTTTACTGAGATGATTTTCACCTGCCGCAGCATTTCCTTTCAGAGGAATAAAAGGGATAGATTCAGATCTCTGAATTCAATAAGGTATGTAATAGTTATAGCCAATGGGTGTAAAATTTTACAAATCCAAATGCCACTCAATTGTAGAAGCAATGTATTAACTACCATTTTCATTATTAAAATTTATTTAGATATTAATGTACTGCCATACTTCTTAGGGAAAATATGTACTTCACCTTTACTAAGAAACATTAATTACCCGTGAACCAAGCCTAGAATATTCAAATACCAGGAAGATCTAGCCTACTGAAAAATCACTTTTATTCAGCCGATCAGTTGAAAATAATTTACTTAGCCATCACTATTTTTGAAAAATGAAAATATGTCATAAAACGTTGAATGTCTACCATTTAGCTCATAATAGCATAGATTTCTTTCAGCTGAAATGTAACTAGAAAAAGAGGAGAGGTACCGTCAGGAATGTTATTTCACTTTGTGCAGTCCTAGATTACACTGGTTTGCAGGAGGTAGGTGAGAGATTCAGAAAATGAGAAGAAAAAGTTTTGACACAAGCATGTCTGCATTGGCCATTTCCTCAGTTATTACTGGCCTCACTTGCTGCTGTGCAACCAAACCACCTTCTCTATGATCTTTGGGACAAATGGTTGATCTAGAAATTGACAGGGCGGTAAATTCTGTGAAATAATAACTGCTTACTAACTAATATAGCAATAAAACTCCTTCTGGTTTTAGCACTAACTTAGAGGAGGAGACATAGAAAAGAGGGACGCATACAGGCAGAGGGAAAGAAAGATGAAAGGAAAAGAAAGAAGGAAGAAATGGAGAAAAATATTAGATAAGTGATTGGGACAATTCATTTAACTTCTCTCAGGTTCTTCACTTTTCAAATTAGGTAAATATTTAAAGCTAGCCATCAAAAATGTTTCTTTAGGTATAAAACTAAACACTAGAAAGTGAGAAGATTTGCAACAAAAAGTCAAGAAAACAGACTAAATTGCGAAACTGATTTTTCATCATGAGAGAAACCCTTAAGCAACAGAAATAAAACATTAATTCTTGGACTTCTCATAGTTAGGTATCAAAAAACATCAAATCTTAGATCTACCCACTAATCACACCACATGATTGTGCTAATATGCTCATATAAGGTAATATGAAAATTTATATATATATATATATATAGAGAGAGAGAGAGAGAGAGTTCCAGAAAAGACCTTCTCAATGGGGTTGAATTCACTGCATGGGAAGAGATTTCCAAAATGGAAATAGGTATTCCATATAAAGAGGGGTTAGAGAATACATAAAAAAACATAAAAAGATGATCATTTATTCTAAGTTAGCTAAAAACTTCACCTAATTGTATTCAAATCTTGCCCTTAGTTTTTTTGTCCTCATTTTTTGACACAAAGCACTAAATAACTAATGAGGTATAATATTTTAAATAACATGAGATTTCCATGCAACAGTTATAATTCGGGGGCGGGGAGGCAGATGACTAGACTGGAACCAGAATCAAGATTGAGACGCAGAGAAAACTGGCACTTCCACATTCAGACCCTAATTCACAAGAAGGTAAGGAATAGACAGATTCATTCACTAGTGATTTTTATGTTGAAAACAGTCAAGGTTAGAGCATGCGCACATGCAGGATGGGTATACAGAGGACTTCAGGGGCCCACAAACTAAGTCTGAAACTTTATACAGACACTTCATGGCCATAGAAATTATAAGGTAAAAAACAAGGCAAAGTGAGTGGAAAACTTCAGCCTGGAACACCCTAAAAGTCTGAATTCAAATAGCTCTCTGTAAGTGTATACTTTCCACACTTGCTAAGAACACAGCCCATTGCCCTTGGAAATCATTGAAGGCCTCCTGATGCTATGTCCTACTTTCCAGAAAATTGGAAATACCCTGACATTGATTCTTCTTGTAGGAAGCTGGTTCTCTCCGTTCTAAGGGGAATCATGTGGTACCGAAACCAGTGAATGTGAAAAATAAATGAGATGGAGTTAGTCAAACATTTACAAAATAGGTTTAAAGAAAGGGCATTTTTTTTTTCATTTATTTATTTGAAAGACAGAGTTACAGAGAGAGGTAGAGACCGAGAGAGAGAGGTCTTCCATCCACTGGTTCACCCCCCAGATGGCGCAATGGCTGGAGCTGCACCAATCTGAAGCCAGGAGCCAGGAGATCTTCCAGGTCTCCCACACAGGTGCAGGGGCCTGAGGACTTGGGCCATTTTGTACTGCTTTCCCAGGCCATAGCAGAGAGCTTGATTGGAAGAGGAGCAGCCGGGACTAGAACAGGGCCAATATGGGATGCCGGTGCTTCAGGCCAGGGCTTTAACCCTCTGTGTCACAGTGCTGGCCCCGAGAGGGCATGTTTTTTTAATTAGCAAAAATAATGGAAGTCAATATTTCTCTCCCTCTCTTTAAACTATTGTGGTCATCCCTTCAAACTAGAACCTAGAATTCAAATACTACCAAATACGCTTCCTAAGCATGGGTAAAGCAAAACAATTTATGTGAGCTGTTTTCTGAACCAAGTCTCTGAAGATGGGCATTTGGCACAGCTGTTAAAACGTCCCTCAGGGTGCTTGCATTCCATATTGGAGTACCTAGATTCAAGTCCGAGCTCTGCTTCCTATTAATGCTTCATGCCAGTGCATACCCTGGGAGGAAGCAAACACATGAATCCTAGCCATCCACATGGGAGATCCAGATTGAGTTCCAGTTCCCTAATCTCGGCCACGCCCAGCCCTTCCCAATGAGGGCATTTAACAATGAACCATCAGAAAAAAGTTTGTTCTCTCAGTGCTCTCTCTCTCTCTCTCCCTCCCTCTCTCCCTCTTTCTGCAACTTTCAAGTAAAAAATTTAGGTATATATAAAATAAGGTGTCCACTATGAAAGAATCCAATCATATAGGCATTTCCAGAATCATCAGATTAAATGACCCTCTACTAAAATACTCTCATCCAGTTTTAAAAAGAAACATACCAACAACAAGATGAGCCAACTAAGCTTTATTCCTTTCTTATTCTCTATTTTCCTCCATCCTTAATTTATAATAGACTATCAGTTCAGTTTGATTACATTATATAAATTTAGTACTGAAAGAGATGTCCAAATGCCTGAACTAATAAGGGCCATGATTCTACTGTGAGCTATATTTCTATGAGCAATGATGTGGTCTTATCTGAACACTCAATCCATAGAGATTTTAATTTGTTGTATTGATTTTTTGCATGTCCATTGCCAAGTGTTTGGTGGTCTTGTATAACTGTTGGAACTTCATGCTAATGAAAAATCAAATTTTCATGTTTTAAATGTCATAATTTATCTGCTTCTTATAATATCTTTGAATTTATCACCCACAAAAGTTATTAATAATTACATAAAGAAAAATGAAAATAAACTTACTTCATCTATTTCTGTCTTCACTTTAAATTCCATTTCTTTCATGTTTTTTATGCTTAGAGTCATTGACCTAAAATAAAGTCAGATAGAAAATAAATTATTTCTTAATCACTAGATTAATAAGGAAGCAACAAAATTGGTAAGCAGTTTTATCTTAACAATTAGAACATGTCTGAAATGATTTAGATCCTATGACCCATTTATTCATAAAATATCTGTGATAGTCCAGAATAGTGGATAACAACAATGGCACCTAAGTAGAGATTAATACATGTAAATTACTTCCCTGGGGTTCCCAGAGATCATTATCTGCAAGCTACAGAAAGTGGACGGGTAAAGCATTGCAAAAAATGTCCACAGAGCACATAATATTTGATAAGATTTTACGTTTAAGGAAAGGAAGTAAAGAGGGAATCAACAGCACAATGGGAACATATAATAATGAGTGTGTATATGTGTGTAGATTCCAGTAGGTAAACACTCCGGAAGCAGAAAAAGAATTGATCAAAACAAGGAAATGGTTCGTGGAAGTTTCATAAGTACACAAAAAGAGACAGTGTATTATTCAACAATTTATCTAGAAATTATGTATATGTATTTTCTGAAAACTAAAAGTTCTTAGTTATTTAATTTTCCAAATGATAACATCTTTGTATGGTTTGTTTTTCATTGTATACCATATCCTTTCACTGAATTAAAAAATCTCTATGATGTAGTATAATGTAGCTAAAGGGTTTATTTTGATAGATTTTATATATTCTCTTTTATAATGTTGATATTTTTTTCATAAGGCCAACAATGTTACATATCATATGTAGATAAAACATTTTCTAATCTGCCTCTAATTTGCTCATAGCATACAAAACATGATTATAGTTTTATATATGTTATATAGAAATGAAGTAACTGGCAACATCACAAAAGAAAGATCTTCAAAAAGTTCATGAAAATGCATATTATGAAAACAATGTGCACGTATTAAATTTTTTTGCATCTTTTAATTCCATTTTCCATGAATTTTTGAAGTACCCTCATGCTTTGCTGCTGTGTCAATGTAAACAGAACATTTGAATCAGATCTTACCTTGGGAAGCGTCCTATCACTATAGCTATGGTACAGACAACACCAAACAACAGTCCCACGTTGGCAGCAAAGCAGATTGTAAACACATATGTACTAACCCAGATACCCTGGAAGAGAAACAGGAAGCACAAGATGTGAATCTCATCTTCTTTGTAATTGCTAAGGTCCTCACAATGTTATTCTACAATCTTATCACCTCCAAACCTCTAAGCAAGAATATGCTATTGATGAAATGAAAAATAAGGGCCCAAGAATATAGAAACAAATCCTAGCTCCCATAGAATCTCAGCAACAGAACTAGGAAATTTTCATTCTTTTATTTCCGTGCTGCCAATCCTTCCTTCAACCCAGGGCAAACACGATATTTAAGATCTGTAAGGAGTTGGTAGATGTGTGTGACTGAAAAGCATGCCATAATTTCCCACTGCTTTTTCATTGAAGGTAATAATATTTTTTTAAGATTTATTTATTTATTTGAGTGGCAGAGTTACAGAGAAGAGAGAGAGAGACAGAGGGAGATCTTTTATCTGCTGGTTCACTACCCAAATGGCCAGAGTTGGGCCGACCTGAAGCCAGGAGCCAGAAGCTTCTTCCAGGTCTCCTACATGGATGCAGGGTCTTAGTCCTTGGCCATATTCTGCTGCTTCCCCAGGTGCATCAACAGGAAGCTGGGTCAGAAGTGGAACAGACAAGACTTGAACTGACATCCAAATGGGATATCGGTGCCACAGGCAGAGGCTTAACCTACTACGCCAAAGTGCCAGCCCCTGAATGTGATAATATTATAAACAATTGCTTGCAGATTTTTTTATGCCTGACAATATTCTATTTTCTAAGATTGCTATAAAAACAACTAATGTAGTAGTTTAAAATGAATCAAATAATGCTAACATGTTACTCTTAGGTCAGTCAATATAAAAATCATTTTTTTTTACAAAGGGTCACTTATTGTGAAAACCACAAAATTAGATATGATTCTTGAGAACATTCCAAAAGATTCAAGAAACTCTCCTTTAGTTGGAATTCCAAAGTCATTGTAGTTTGGCCACCCCTTAAAAATTATAATTTGCAACAAGATATTATATTAGAATTGACATTTCCAGATTTAGTGATACCAAAAAAAATCTGTAAAAGCAAGATAATTAGTGAGATTCAGAAAATTATACTTCCTAAACACAAAATCTAGCATTTAACCAATAGCAGGCTCACAAAATTTTCAAATACTCGCTTTCCTCCGAATAGCCTATATCACTTTTTCTGTGCTTACTATTCTGTATTGGTATCTTTCTTTTCCAATAGTTGTGTTATCACTTTAAAACATAAATCCAGGGGCTGGCGCTGTGCGTAGCAGGGAAACTCACCACCTGCACAGTTGGCATCCCATGTGGGTGCTGGTTTCAGTTCTAACTTCTTGACTTCTGGTCCAGCTCCCTGATAATGGCTTGAAAAAAGGAAACAAAGGTGGTGCAAGTGCTCGGGCTCCTGCATGCAGGAGGAAGACCTGGATGAAGTTCCTGGCTCCCGGCTTTGGCCTGGCCCTGTGCTGGCCTTTCCTGCCATCTGGGAAATGAACCAATGGATGGAAGAACTCTGTGTCTCTGTCTCTCCCCCTCTCACTATAGCTCTGACTTTCAAATAAATAAACAAAACAAAACATAATCCAATTCCATACACGAATGGAAGCGTTTGAAACTACTCCATACCCTGAATGAAAATAGCATAGAATCTTTGGGATTGGGTTTTTTCCCCAGACAAGTTAGAAACATTTTTTTTTAACTTGGAACACTTTTCCCCATGTCTGTATTATCTATCTACATTGCACTTGAGAGATTAACAATAGATTATTTTGAAAATCTGAGACCTTGGAGGCAGATGAAAGGATTGTTATCTGTAAAATTCCTTTTGATATGGGAAAAACACTGTAGAGTGAAAGAGAAAATATATTTAAAATGACTCTCACATTAAGAGCCACCATCTACAAATTTATTGCCAAATTATTTATTTTGACATCATTTCCAGCCTATCATCTCATAGGCTATTCACGACTCAACAGTCATTTGAGTCTTCTGTTTATAGATGGTACATGCTTTCTTCCTACTGTATTCCATTGTATTCAACCATATACAAATTAAGATTTTAGTTTTTGATCATTAATTCAACTTTCTTTGATAACCATGAGTCTTTGCTCATCCCTGAATGCTGAGTCTGACTGAGACAGAGTAACATGCCACCACAGGCTCTATAAGTCCAGTTCCTGCTGATCAAGCTCCATGATTCAAAATGGCATAGCGAACTAAAGATCCTGGTCCCTGCCAGTTAATGTCCCGCAAAGCTGGAGGCCAGGATTCATCAGAGCAACCCAAAGTTTTGAGACCATCTGGTTCTATTTTTAAAGCATATTTACTCTCTCACAACATCATCAATAATAAGCTCGGCTCTTAATGCTTAATTATGTCCTGGGGCTACTCTTACAGCTTTGAAAAAAATATCAAATAGAAATTAATAACATAGATCAGAAATAGTTCCCTTGGTTAGAGTAAGTCCCAACAGTACTCTGTGACAGTTCCTGTAAAAGACCCAAATGTTGGTGTCACATTTATCAGAAATTGGGTAGCTCTTGGGCCCCTATTGTCTTTTATATTTTTCATCATGTGTTCTCAAATATTCCCTTCCTCCTTATTTTGCACTTATACCCTACAATCACAAACTAACCCCAAAGCTGATATTAAGTAGGGAACATATAAATCCTCGCTCTTTTTGAAAATGCATCAGTGTGAAGCACACTTTAGCAACCACTGAGTCACCTTGCCGCTCCATGACCTATTATACTACATTTTCATGACATCTTTGTAGATATGAATTCTATTCCCAGTTTTCAGTTACTCAAACTTAGCTCTGCCAGGACTGAATCTGGATCTCTATTTCCTCATTATTTCAAGAGATTCTTGTAGGTGTGTCCTTCTTAACAATACTTGCTTCCAGAATTAAATCATAAGGTGGGGCCGGTGCTGTGGCATAGCAGGTAAAGCCGCCACCTGCAGTGCTGGCATCCCACACAGCTGCTGGTTTGAGTCCCGGCTGCTCCACTTCCAATTCAGCTCTCTGCTATGGCCTGGGGAAAGCAGTGGAAGATGGCCCAAGTCCTTGGAACCCTGCACCTGTGTGAAAGACCCAGAAGAAGTTCCTGGCTCTTGGCTTCAGATTGGTGCAGCTCCAGCCATTTTATGGCCATTTGGGAAGTGAACCAGCAGATGGAAGACCTTTCTCTCTCTCTCTCTCTCTGCCTCTCTGTAAAATCTGCCTTTCAAATAAATAAATAAATTGTTAAAAAAATCATAAGGTAAATTGGGTTTTTCCAAACCACTCAAGTTAGTTAGCATTTCTTCAAAAGTTGTAAATTACACATTCATCAAATTTGAAAAATTCCATTTCTGTTTCTTATAACTACAGACAACTTATGTTTAAATGCATTTATTACGATTTTAGAAAGGTAACTGATAAAGCATACAGGTCTCAGATAACTAAATATATTTTCTATAAATAATGGTATTAGAGTTTATTTGGTAACATGTACTTAAGCCAAAGAGGAAAATTTTAGGTCAAATTTTTACTTACCCAATCAATTTTATCCACATTCCAATACTTTTTTAAATCCCGGAACTGTATTAGCATTCCTTTCAGTCCCACAACAATAATACTTGCAAGAACACACTACAAATAAAAAATAAGTTGATGAAGAAGCAAGACCAAAATTTTAGTCTAAATATAAAAGGTCCAAATTATTTTTATTTGCTTGGTTTTAAAGTATTAGAGAAAGTAATCATCAATAGGGCAAAATACATCCTATTCTAAAAATTAAGGCTAAAAAAAGGAAAATAGGGGCTAGCACTGTGGTATAGCAGGTAAAGTCACCGCTTGCAGTGCCAGCATCCCATATGAGCACCGGTTTGAGTCCCAGCTGCTCCACTTCCCATTCAGCTCTCTGCTATGGCCTGGGAAAGCAGTAGAAGATGGTCCAAGTGCTTGGTTCTCTGCACCTGCATGCGAGACCCAGAAGAATCTCCTGGCTCTTGGCTTCTGATCGGCACAGCTCTGACCATTGCAGTCATTTAGGAATGAACCAGTGATGGAAGACCTCTCTCTGCCTCTGCCTCTCTCTAACTCTGCCTTTCAAATAAATATATAAATCTTAAAAAAAAAAAACAACAAAAAAAGTAAAACAAATCTGAGGAATTCTAAGGGTGAATGTCACAAAGCTGAATGTGCCCTTAACTATGATTATTCACTGCCATTTGCTTGAAATGTGTTGGTTGTAAAATACACATATATATCACATATTTTTGCAATTTCTTTAACTATCAATTATCTAGTTCCACCTAAAGATATTCAAACAACTTTTGGAAACTAGATTTGATTATTGAGCAGTCTTCTCATGGAAATAATATACTCTGATTACGCAACTGAAGATTTAGAAACAAAGGAACAAAATTGCTCAGTTCTCTGAAGACTGGGGTATTCTTTGTATCATGTTGGTGCTTCAGGCTTTTGAAGGGCAAGGTGACTGACTGATACTAGTCACTTCATATAAAGCATGTGTCAAGAGTGGGAAAACGTGTTTTGTTCAATAGCCTCTTGCCCCAGGACACATTTTCTAAGTTCTGATAAAATTCTTCCAAAGTCCGCTTCTTATTAGGGAGAATGCTTAGTTCCACCCCTAGATAAATACTGAATAAATCCAGTTCCACAATGCCATTTTTGACACGAGAGCCAAAGAATTAGGAAATAGACATGGGGTACCTATTCTTGCCTCATCAAATGTGCCATCAGTCCACCTTTCCCCCATTCAAACTTTATTTATATAACATGGTTTTCAGATTTAGGATTATTGAGGATATGCATCTAAGAAATTTTATATACAATGATTCTCATCAAAAGTAAAGTTACAATATAGATAGTGAAAAAAAAAAAACACTACTGTACCATGGGCAGCCAATAAAGCAGAGGTCCTATTGCATAGATGACTATAAGGACGAAAATGCAAGATATTAGACAAGCCACCTGTAAAATACAAGACAGACAAAAAAGAAAGCCTTGAACATTTTATTATTCTAAAGCTATGGGAGGGGGATATTATTCTTAGTTCATCTTGATTAGAAGTAACAAAACATTGGCAATAATTGTTAAACTGCATAGAGTGTCATTATCTATATTTTGCAGCTGAGGGAAGCCAAACATGACAGCTGACAAACTGGTGCCATCAAATTAAGTCACTGAAGAGAGAAAAGTAATTCCACACAAAGAAATAGGACACCATCCACTTTTATCACATATCACAGCAATGGCTTTTTGTTTAATAGTGAAAGTGACATTTCAATTAAAAATTCTATAGCCTGTTGTTGTTTACCCTGACTCCTCTCCTATTTTGTAGGGATTGTTTGAGCAAAAACTGAAAATACACTTAGAGTTTTCTGTGCTGATGACAAATTCCCAGGAAGCATTTACCCTCTTCTTTGGAGTTCTTTGTTAGTAATGGCTCTAGTTATGAAGTGGTTATGTGAGATTAGACACCATCTCTGATAGTGGAATAGACTTACTTTTACTAATCCTAAAAAGCCATCAGAATCATGTTCTAACCCACTCAGGCTGCTGACAAAAGGCAACTCAAAACACCTGACTCACGTAACTATGTTCCATTTAATCGAGAACTTGATTTCACAGAAGCAAATGAACAAAAATGTTTGGCCAAATTGTCATTATAACAAGAAAAAAGGGATTTCTCACGACCACAAAGAAGTCTAGAACACCATTATGGAGATATAAAAGGGAATTTGGATTAGAATGTCTTGAGTTAAAAAATCAATATTTAAACAAACAATCGGTATCAATGGCTTCAAGGACTCAGAACAATTGGAGTTCCCAGGCATTGCTGGTGAAAATGTGATATGGCACATTTTGGCATATGAAGTTAAGCACACATCAAAAGACCCAGGACTGCCTAAGAGAAATGAAAATATATACCTACATGAACTTGTACATACATTTATAGAAACTACTCATAAATACTTAAATTTGTAAATACTGTGAATATACACTAATTAGTGAATAAATTGTGCCATATCCATACAACAGAATACTACTCAGCAATTAAAAAAGAATATGGCTGAAATTCAATCCCAGTAAGCCTAGGAAGGTAGCTGGACTAGACACAGAAAGCTGTATACTTTCAGATTTCATATGTACAACATTCTGAAAAAAGACTAATTATGGGATGCCAGAGGCTAGAAGTTGGGGTCAAAGAAATGGTCACAAAGGAGCATAAGGAAACTTGGTGGGGTGATAGAAAATATTCTATATCCTGATTGTGTTTGTGGTTACACAGGAATATACTCTTCCAAATCAAGTGAACTATATAACTAAAAAGGGTGGATTTTACTAACTGGAACTATACCTCTTAAACCTGAATATTTACGAAAAGGAAATTAGGGGAAGGATCTGTAATAATTGTTTATATATATGGGTATACCCAGAGTCAGCCCAGCAGCAGTGCTCATCCTGAGCCTAGCACTATTAAAAGGTATATTGTGGGAAGTGGGGAATGGAGTGGAGGTGGCTATAAATATCCAGCCAATCCAGTGGTCACTCAAGAACAGACATAGGAACTGACCTGTATGGGAAGAGTCTGAGGGAATCTGGTGTTCCATCCATAGTTAGTGGGAATCGTCAGCACATAATGGGAATAACAATTCTTATGTGAGAAACCATTAGGGAACCAATAATTGTCTACAAAAGGTTACAGTACACTAGGTCATCACTACACTGATTACTTAGGAGTCACTGGTGATTTTACATATTAAAAATTTTTAAAACAATAAAATAAAATGCTTGTCATTCCACTCGACTATGAAAGCTATAGGATCCATCCAGAAAGTCCAGTAAGTTGACTCAGTAAACCCATGTTTATATGGAAATAAAAAGACACCAGCTACTAAGAGCTACTGCAAGACAAAAGACAATGGCATGCACCCCTTTTGTGGAACTCTTCACTCATACATCTACAGTGTTTCTGAAAACAGAATCCTAAATCTCAAGCATTGAAACGAACTTTGAGCAGTCACAGTCAACACTCCTTGGAAGGATTTGAGGCACAGAGAGGCAAAGTGACTTGCCCAAGGTCAGAAAGCTAGGGAGTTAGAAGACATGAAGGTAATAGGGGATAGGTACTGCACCAGGACTCATGAAAGCCAAATTTATTTTAAGATTCCTAGATATATTACAATGCACTAAAGTTGTTATAGAAATTACAATGCAACTCCACAATTTTATGCAGAAATAGTAAATTACAAGTACACTTGGGCTTTTCTTCCAAACGATATTTAACTGTTTTTTATCGGCATGGTGTTTTGTATATACATCAACAGCACTCACTGGATTACAATTCAATCTTGTAGGCAAAGTAAGTTAAAAGTTAAATGGATTTTATTTCGCAAAGATTAACAAACTATTTGTTTAATGTTGTGAGTCATAATGAAATAGACCATGTATGCAAATGCTTTATGCCAGAAACCTGAATGGACTTGTTTCATTTTTTTTTTTATGCACTACATCAAAAGACAAGTAAACTTAATTGGACGAGCAACCCTTACCAGTTCTGCCAAATATATCTGTCCCTAGTCATGGAAACTAATAATAGAATAGTGTCTGCCTTCAAAACTTTCAAAATAGTGATATTCATTCACTCCATAAATAAGAGGCCCAGGCACTGAAGTTTGAATTTTTTTTAAAATCTGAAATTATGCAGTCCATCATTCCATAATCAGCCAACTTGGCAATTTAAAAAAAAGAAGTTAAACTAAGATCAGATATTTGCAATGCTAAACAATTATTTTATTTCTTAAAAGATTTATTTACAGAGAGAGAGGGGAAGAGACAGAGAGAGAAATCTTCCATCTGCTGGTTTACTCCCCAAATGGCTACAACAGCTGGGGCTGGGCCAGGCCAATGCCAGGTGCCCGGAGTGTCTTCCAGTTCTCCCATGTGGATGCAGGCTCCCAAGCACTTGGGTCATTTTCCACTGTTTTCTTAGGTGCGTTAGCAGGGAGCTGGATCAGAAGTGGAACAACCAGGACTCAAACTGGCACCCATATGGGATGTCAGCACTGCAGGTGGAGGTTTACTCACTATGCCAAAGCACCAGCCCTTATACAATTATTTTCAAACTTCAGCTTTCTATCATAATTCACTAGCTATATTTCTAAATATCAACCATTTTCTGAATATCTATGAAAATTACTTTGTACATAAGGAAACACTTTTTTGCATATCTTTGATCTATCCAGAGAAACATTTTTGAAGGCAAGTTACAATCAGAACAAGAGAGATAAACATGTTCCCCTTTTATTTAATCTCAGAACACAAACAAAAGTTAAGTAGTTCCTTCTTAATAAGTTCCAGGTTGACTTACATTGTAATTAGTAAAGAACAACACTCACATCCTTAATTATCCAAGCAGCAAATATTGTCTAAGTATTTTACTCTTCAGTTCTTGCAATGTCACACTAATTAAATGGCCAAAGATAATTTTTTATTTAAAATCACAGCTAATTGCACATAAAAGTTAATTTTACATAAAAGATAATAAAGTAACCTACATGATCTTCTCGCTATGTCTTCAAATATTACATCTGTTGTGCCTTATTTACATAGGTGACCACTGCATGCATGAGTGGTATCCACACTTAAATGTTTGCTGAAGGAAAAAGGAAGTGTCAGTCATTTCCTTCCTAAGCAGCTGTCAAAGAATGCAAAGTAGACCTAGAATTCACTATATGACAACTTTGTGGAAAGCAGGGGAATGGAGAAGTAGATGCAATGGGACAAAAGAGAAAGAGAGAGAATGAATCTTGGGTAACTAAGACTAAATTAGAAAGGCTTCAATGAAAGCCATGAGCCCAATGTTCATAAAAGAAACACAGTTTGGTAAATTGAATCCAGAGATAAATTCCAGTTTGCAGAAAGATAGAGCAGCTGTTGTTTTCAGTTATGATTGAGGTGCCTCTCATCCCTCAGGGAACCATGACGCCTCCCGCACTCCCGGAGGAGCCCCAGGAAATCTCCTCTTCTGGGATCAAAGAGAAGCATGCAGGGTAGAGAGACAGGGGAATGCTGAGCTCCCTCATTAACTAACATTATCCAGAGGCAAGGAGGGAAGAAAGAATGATAACATATATTTGTGCTATTTTTCTTTTTTAAAAATGTTTGAAAGACTGAGTTATAAAGAGAGAGAGAGAGAGAGAGAGAGAGAGAGAAAGAGATAAAAAGATCTTTCATCCTCTGGTTCACTCCCCAGATGGCCACATACGGGACTGGCCCAGGCTGAAGTCAGGATCCAGGGCTTCTTCCACGTCTCCCACATGGATGCAGGGGCCATCTGCTGCTGCTTTCCCAGGCTCATTAGCAGGGAGATGGATGGAAAGAGTAGCAGCCAAAACTCAAACTGGCACACACATGGAATATCAGCTAAGCCACGACGCAGGTCTCGTGTGTTGTTTTTGAGGCAGTAGGGAGATTTTTTTTATTCTCCAAATAGCCTTTCTTAGATATACATGTTTTGCATACCAATCAAAAGAGATCCTTGTAAAAAGGGTTTCTACAAGTGTAGAATAAAAGTTGTCACCCTTTGGTTACAACACTTGGAATTAAATGATGGATATCTTTTGTTATTTCAATTCAAACATTTTCATTTTATTCTTTAATGCATTGAATGGCTTTATCATCAACTCATTTTTACAGAAAATGGTTCTAAATTCACTGTCTAATAAAGCCAGGTACAGCTATTGAGCTGTTGAAATTTGAAATGTGACTGGTCCATATTAAGATGTGCTGCAAATGTGAAATACACATCAAATTTTAAAGCCTTAGTGTAAAAGAAAAATAATGTAAAAATAGCATTCATAATCTCCAGGCAGATTCCATACGGAAACAGCATGGTGCTTACACCACAGATTGGGACACCTTCTTCCCATATTGGAATGCTTGGCTTTGGGTCCTAGCTGATGTTGATTCCCTTTCCATCCAATGCACACTCTGGGAGGCATTAAGGGATGATTCAAGTAGTTAGGTCCCTGCCACCAGCTTTGGCTGAGTTACAAGCATTTGTGGAGTGAACCGGTGGATGAGCGTTCTCTCCCTCCCTGTAAAATTAATTAATTTATATAAATGTTAATAGTATTTTGTCTCTAATTGGTAAATTCAAGTACATTTTTAAGATTAATTCTTAAATACAGTTACCAGAAAATTTAAATTACCTGTGTAGCTTATATTGTTTCTAGTGAACAGAGTAACTGTAATATATAGGATTCTAAGTGTAGCTTTTAGTGGTATTTTCTTAACTTCAAAAATACTATATTAAGTGATAATAAAAACTCCCTGGCCTGACCTGTCCCTTCTAATGTCAGCAAAACTGAATTACTGGATAATTTCATTTTTCATTCATTCTTTCCTCTTAGAGTTATTAACACCTAACTATGACAGGACTGGAGCCAGACAAAGTGGATACAGGGAACTTTAACGCAAAGGTAGAAGGCAAACATCAATCATATGATCACACTCGTACACTTTTAACGTCAAACAGTACTAAAGACTCAGAAAGAAAAGAACATAACGGACCCAAAAGTGGCAGTGAGATATGAAGGGTAGCAGGAATGAACTTAGGGGAGAAGGAGAAGGCAGCCACAACAACACCAGAGCCCGTGAGGCACAAAGGACCATGTGCCCAGAAAGCTGAACATGAGGTAGAGGACAACCCAAGGTGAGGCTGTGCGTGGATGCACTCAGAGCCTTGCAGGCAACATGGAGGTCTGAATTCTAAGATCTATCACAGCCTTTCATGGACTTTAAGCAGGAAAAATATGAGCATCCGTGTATGTTAAAAAGATAACTTTCAACATAAATACTGTATGACAGTATTTACTACAGAAATACCAAAAATGTTTCTGAATAAAATCATTTGACAAATAACAAGGTTGTCATTAGCCTAAAAATAACAGGTTGTCATTAGCCTAAAAGTTGAGGGACTTTTACATCTTCTAGATTAATTTACTGAGTATAAGTCTAGTCCCTAAGAGAGTGAGAACCATTTAAGGGTTTGTTTTGTGAGATCATATCACATAAAAAAAAACTACTTTCACAAATATCCCTATTAGAACAAAACTTTTAAGACTTGGCTAGCCTAGCACATTATTCAAACCATGTCAGTTTTCAGTTATACCCACATAAACTTCACAGTTGTAGTGTTAAAGGTCTGAAATGACTACCATGGGAAAGCATCCTCCATTGGGGTACCCACACTAAATCAGATTCTTTCCCTGTGCAATTTAAGGGGAACTGTTGGAAGAGTTAGTGATCTTGTCAGCAAGCAGAAGAGCATGAAATGATTCAGCTGCTAAACTTTGTCTCCCTGAACTAGTGTTTGATTTCTCTCAAAGTCTGATTGATAGAATTCCATGTACAGAAAAGAACTCTACAAAATTTAGAGAAGCTTCTTTTTTGTTCTAATATATCAAATGTGCACCCTGCAGAATAAAGCAGAGAAAGAGTATTTCTCTAACCTTACTCATAGTCAAACAAATGTATGTTCAATTCAAATGATAAAAGATACACCCAGAGTCTAAAAATCAGCACACGCTTTCTCAAAAATATTCTCTTTCAGATATTCAATGTTAAAAATAATAGCGGTTATTCAGATGGTTTCATTATCACTATTAATTAGAAAAGTATGGTAATGCCAAAGGAAATCCCAGCTACAGAACCTGTTCAAGACAGAAACTTCCCAGGGGTTGTATTTCAACCTTCTCTGTCCATCTGACCAGTGAAGATGCTAAGCTGCTCAAGATTCCCCAGCACATCAGTGGATCAGCTTGGACTCAAAAACCTTCTTTGTTGCATCCCAACCAAACCATGGTATTTTTATATTAAATGTCAAACCAGAGGTTCTGAAAATATCCTAGTATTTTTAAAACACTTAATAATAAAATCAATGGTGATTATTAACATTTAAAGAATTTTTATGTGATGCTCAGAAATTGGTGCTAAATAAGCACACATTAACTCAGTTCTTATAATAATTCTACTTTAATAGCCATACCCACTTAATTTAGAGAGGTTAAGTTACTTATGCACAATCACCCAACCATGAGTGGTGGAGGTGGGTGGGACACAAGTCCAGGCTCTGGCACGTAAGCCCTTAACCACTCACTACATTTACCCAGCCAGAACATGAAGAGAGGAAATCTAATGGACTCACTCTTATGGGAAATCGAGGGAAACTATTATAAAACTCTAGACGTGTATAGGTAGGAGAGTCCTCAGAATAAAGGATGACCTTGAAGTTGGCTATAAATTCAAATGTTTAAATTTAGATCACAAATATTTTGAAAGTATGCTTCACAGAAATGTTTATAATACTGGACACAATACACATAACCATGAAATAATACCTGTGTAGAATTCCATGAGATTACTTAATCTCATGTCAAACAGGGTTGCATGAGGACATTAGCAGTTGAGTTGTGGCAATTTGTCAAATTAGAATAAGAACTAGTTGTTGCTTCCCCTCTGCCCTATGGCATATTGTTTGTAATTTTCTTAACCTCATGCTATATTTAATATGTTTAGCCATATTACTCTTGCCACTTGCCTCCAGGTCAAGAACCACATGCTTTCAAGTTCATTCTTCTACAACTTTAAAAAAACCTGCTTAATATAAGACAAATAACAAATATTTGAATTTACACATAAAATGAATTTAATAATAAATAATTTACATAAAATGAATTAAAATACATTTTCATTCCACTCCTATTTTAAAAGTGAATTGTTTCATTATCCAGCTGTTAATGTTAATTTCTTATACTAACATATACATAGGAGCTGGTGTTGTAGCTCAGAGAGTTAAACTTGCAAAACCATTATCTCATATCAGAGTGCCAGTTTGAGTCTTGGCTGCTCTGCTTCTGATCCAGCTCCTTGCTAATGCACCTGGGAAAGCAGTAGAAGATGGCCCAAGTGCTTGGATCCCTGCACCATTGTGGGAGACACAGATAGATTTTCTGGCTCCTTGGCTTCTGCCTGGCCCAGCCCTGACTCTTGCACATATTTGGGGAGTGAACCTGCAGATAGAAGATGTCTCTAGCTCTCTGTCTCCTTCTTCCTCTGCCTTTTAAACAAATGATATTTTTAAAAAGATATATATGAATTTTTCTTCCATTGAACAGTGGTTAGGAGTAAAAGATTTGGAATAAATCCATTTGGGTTCAAATTCCAGCTCTGCCACTCACAAGTTCTGTTACCTGAGTAAGTTATTTCAACCTTTTTTCTCAACTTTCTCAAGAAGAAACTGAAGATAATAATTACCCATCCTTCATAGAGTTGCCTAAAGGATTAAATTAGTTCATTCATATAAAAGTTATGACACACAATGCCTGGCACATGAGTCAATATTGTTTACATCAACACCACCACTATCACCATCATCACCATCATCATCATCATCATGACCTACCAGTACACTGCATAATGCCAGGCACATAGCAGGCGCCCAATAAATGCTGATTTTATTTAAATTCCTAAAAAATAACCATTGTTTATTTAACCTAAAATGTATGAAGACATATTATGCCATATTTACACCCTTGTACATCAATATAGACAGGAGTTTCAGTGTCAAAGGTTGATTTTGCATATAACTGATTTTATTTCACTTGAAGTGAACAAAAATGGGAAATGCCACATTGACTATTTCCAATAACAGAAAGAAATCAGAGGCACCACTAGAGGGAGCTTTGGTCAAAGGTTGCTAGCAAGGAAGCTGTCCTTTCTGCAGGATGTTTCAGCCTGCAGTGAGCCACTTAGCCTCTGGAAGGGTCGTTCCAGGGAAGGGAAGAGAGAGGCTTCTTTGAGGCTGCTTAGGAAAACCTGAGGTAGTGCAAGTATTCTCAGGACTTAACGAGAAGCTCGCTCTTCCCACTTTCCAAAATGTGAATGAAAGTCCCACAGTGCTCGAGTCCCTGTGGAACAAGTGTTACCTGTGTCTTCGCCCCTGTGCTGTACAGGACAGCGGTCCTTCCCATAGCAGCAGCACTTGGGATGCAGAAGAGAAATGAAGAAATCACATTGCTGAGTCCATGGGCCAAAAACTCCTGTAGTGTGAATATAGAATATACCATTCCTTAATCACAGTCAACTTTTGGAGGCCATGAGCACAACTTGTCAAAGAAGGAGCCTTGTTTGTATTCAACTCTGTTCTCCTCCCCAGTTGGGATTTAACAATTATAATAAAAATAGCTCACATTTATTGAGTGCTTACAATGAGCCAGAAACTGTTCTAAGCCATTGACTCATTCAATCTTCATAACAACCTGATATGGAAATACTACTTATTTATGTTTCCTGCTGCTGTGTTTTAAGTCACCACAATCAGGCTTTTGTTCCCACCACTCCATCAATAATCTCCACAATTCTGAATTCAATGGTTAATTCTTTCTTTATCTGGCCTAAAAGAGACATTTGACACAGTTGCTCAATTCTTCCTCCCTAAATGCTTTTTCACTTGCTTCCAGCACCTCACACTCTCCTGGTTTCTACCCACCTCCCTTGCCACCCCTTCTCAATTTCCTTTGTGGTTCCTTCTCATCTAAACCATTGCAAATATTGGAACCCTTCTCGTCTATCCACGTCTTAGCTACCCAAATATATGTGGACAACCCCCACATTCTTGTCTCTAGCTTGGCCCACTCTTTTGAACTTCAGGCCAGCAGCTACCTCAAACTTAACTTGGGCTGCAGCTCTCTACCATGCAATCTGGTCCTCCCACATTCTTCTCCATCTCAAGTCCCAATTGCTTAGGTCAAAGCTTTACAGTTACTCTTGGCTCCCCCCACCCCAACCCCATTTCCCAGATGACATCTGGATTCAGATCCAAAATCCATGCTCTTCTCATTTCATTCACCCTCATCTAAGTCATCAAATCTCACCTGGATAATTGCAAAAGCTTCCTAACAGTTTCCTGCTTCTGTTGTTGCCAGTAGCACAAATATTTCTCCCTCATAGAACTGTGGTTCTGGTGAGGGAATGCTGAGAGTAAACAAGGTCAATACTGGAAAGTGAAGCAAAGGAGGGCATGGGGAAATTTGGAGTTTAAGATTTTAATTTTTTATACATTTTTATTTTTCATGTTTATTCATTTGAAAGGCATAGAGAAAGAGACAGAGACAGAAAAACAGACACATACAGAGAGAGAAATCTGCTGGCTAATTCTCCCAAATGTCTGCAATGGCTGTGGCTGGCCATGCTGAAATCAGGAGCCCATAACGCTCTCAGGGTCTTCCAGGTGTGTGGCAGAAACCTGATCACTTGCACCATCTCCTGATGCCTCCTGCATTAGAAGTAAAACCAAGACCATACCCAGGCACTCCAATATGGGATATGGGTATCCCAAATAATGCCTCAACCACTGTGCTAAACACCCCTGGAGTTTAAGACTTGAATTGCCAAATAAGGTCTCTCTGAGAAGGGACCATTTAAATAAAGGAGCTATGTAGATATCTGGCGATAGAATTCCTGGGAAAGGAAACAGCGAATGCAAGTGTCCTGAGGCAGAGTCATCACACTAGTGAGTTCAAGAAAAAGCAGGGTGGCAACTATGGCTAGAACAGAATATAAAAGAAATACAACATCAGAAAGAAAGAAAAGAGGATGTTGGCAGGTCATGTAGAGTTTTGTTAACAACGATAAAGAGGTTGTTAACCTGAGTATGATGGGGAGCCAGTAAGAGATTCTGAGCAGAAAAAAGATAGTGTCTGTGTTGTTCACCACTGACTTGTACCTAGACCAGTTCCTGGTACATTCTGTAGTTCAGTCCACATTTGGAGAATGAATAAGTCCACTCTTTTACAAATCAGAAAACTGAGACTCAGAGAGGATTAGAACCCCCTAGTGTCAGAATGAGATCTGTAGAAAGCAGTTCTGCGTATCTAACCACTATATTGCTGCTTCTCTGCACATCCATGTCCCTCTGGTTCTACGGGACTTGAAACAATACACTGGTGGACATGTATTGAGCAATGAGATCAATATAATCTGTATCCTTTGGTGATTTAAAAATTGAGGCATCTTTTATTACTAAAATGAATAATAATAGTGTTATTTGTACTTTGAAATTCATAATTCTTAAAAGTTCTCATATATACATATGGATTTTCCTCTAAAAACAAAGAGTATGAAATTTTTTCCTGTCGTTAAGGAATTATAAAACATGATAGCCAGATTTTCAGTTTCTGTGAATGACATTTTTCTTTTGTTCTACCCATTCTTGGTATACACTTAGGAAAGTTGTGTTTTTCATAAACCCAAACTTTCAGAATCTGAGAGTACACAGTACAATGATATGGTAGGAATGCAGAGGGCCGGGGGTACACTTCACCTGGTTGTCATCAACTGAATATTTGAATTTTTTGGCAGATCCCTGAGCAAGAGCCAGTGAGGCCGCGTAGCCTACAAGTGCCACTCCAAAGGCTTCAGTGATGACTGCTGACAGAATGTTCATCGGTGGTGCTCTAGGTGGAGGAATTCTGTGGAAAGAAAGACCATATTGAAGTCATCAGTCTTTGGGTAATTTCTGAAACAATTTGCAATAAATTCAAATGTGATAATGACACTAAAGTGTACAGAGAACGAATAAAACAGTTGTGAAAAAAACAAGCAGCCTTACCCTGAGAAGCCCTTTGTGTTGAATATTTAGCAGATGAGCAAAAGAACATGCCAGGGAGAACGCTATGCTTTGCCCTTTGGGAATCCAGGTGACCCACAGAACTCAGACAGAAAAGTGCACGTATCAGAAACAAAAGCAAAATCTGGAATGCTCTTTTGCTCCATCTGTTGCAAGTATTTATTTAGCTGGTGTTGTAGACTGTATTTCCTCCTGTGACTACTACAGGGTGGTATGCAAACACTAGTTTACTGTGAAGTGCAATCCTTGACTTAATCCCAAAATTTGCTCTTGAGTACATTATCATAATTAAGATTTTTAACTCAACCCCTTCATGAAAGCACTTAACTATGCCTTACATATGTTTGAGAAAAATATGTAGAAACATTCCATTTACCCGCTGCTGCAAAATGCAGGACCACAGCTAGCTGTTTCCCCATTTTAAAGAATTATTTAAAATTATTTCTATCAAAGAGTACCCAGACATTGTCTTACTGTCTTTTGAAAATCACTTGAGCCAAAGTATCATAATTTATTTACTCCTGATGATTCTCTGGGAGATCTACAAAACAAATCCCTTGGGCAAAAGTGCAAGAAAAAGAAAAGAGAGTTTATGTGGATTTAAAAGCTACTATATATGTAGAATTCTTGGCCAATCAATTTCACCTATTTCTTTTAATTATTCCAACAACCTTCAAACCAAAAGCAATTGTAACTAATGTTAGGAAGAGAACAGATTTTGAGAAAGGTTCAATAACTTATCTAAAGTCACAAAGTTATTGGCAGAGCTGGGATTCAGTCTCAGCTCCATCTCCTTCCAAAGCCATAACACAAAAATAACTATGATAAAGTATAAACTTGCTATATTTTATGATTATTTAAGACTATAGATATGAAAAAGTCACTCAAAATAAAGGAGAATTAGAGGAAATGGCAGACAGGGCTTTTTTTAATCCACTAACTAAACTTTGTCCTCAAACCAAACTGATTTGTATGTTTTGTGGTCCTAAGACATAAACTATGCAAAACCAATATCCTTTCAAAGTATGAGCCTTTGTTTTATGAAAATTGAGTATATTGTTTAAAAATGACAAACCAATCAAAAAGAAGGAATAAGCCAATGTTCAAAGGTGGAAAACAGAAAACCTATTAGAAAATAGAAAGTATTGTTTGAATTCAGATAATCTAATTGATTTAATTATTAGCTCATAGCTACACAGGCTAAAGATGGAAGATTTTAAAAATGTATTTTTAATATCTGAGAAGTTTTCTATTGTTCTTCTATTTTAATGTAGTTAGAAACCAAAATTTGGGACTGAAAGATTATAATACAGAGCACCCAGTCACTCTTACTTTGTCCTCAGATAATATGTGTTGGTGTACAGAATAAACAGCCCACTAAAAAGAAATAGCACGGAAACCCGCTCCCCTCACCTAACATACCCTCATTTTCTTTCAACCTATGCTTCAAACAACCCTTTTCCCTTTAGGGTAAATGCTTGCTCTTTCGTTAAGCTTTCTTTTAGTCCAGAGGGAGGCTGTAGGCAGGTAGGGAACCAAGCATTCTTCTCCACTTTACCCCCTCTCTCACTATCAAATATTGTCCAGGTATATGGATTTACTACTTCAGATGGTGCTTGTCTACTTTTACTATAATTTAAGTGAAGTAAAAATAATCAAAGAATTACGGGGCAGGAATAGAAGATTAAATATCAGGATATGACTAATTTACAAATTCAATATATTCCATTTTTTCAAATAATATATTAATATGTAATTTTCCAAATATTTTACCTAAAACAGTGTATAAAACAATTAGAAACTTACTTAATAATGGTGAGCACTCTACGAAATTACTCTTTCTCTATACATGTAGTGATTGTTTCTATCACTTTATAATAGAAATTATAATTTCATTCTAAACACGGACAAAAAAGAAATGAAATTCATCCCTACCCATCCCCAATGCCTTCCCCATCAAAAACAAACAAATAAAATATTAAGGGACTACATTACCCTCTTGGAATGTGACCAACTACTTCCAATCCATATGTGTTTTCCATATTGGTACAATAACAGGCAAATGATGCAGCAATAATCTATATGGTTCCATTTGGAAAAAGAATAAATATTTCTTATTACTGGCCCCTCTAACACCTTAATTTTTTTTTACTTTTTTCTTTTAGTAATATAAATTTTAGAAGGAACATTATTCTTGTGTCCCATGATTGTCAACAGTGATATAGCAGTTACACAGATTTTTTTAAATTAACCAAATCTTGAAAAGTAAGAATCAACTCTGAGTTTTGAGAACACTTTACTATCTCAAGTTTAGATTATTTACTAGTAAAATGGCTTTTGTAATAGCCTATATCATTCAACCCAGTTATGTCCATTTTTGAAAGGAAGCAAAACACAGAACACAGATGTGTGTCTGTGTGTGTACAAACACCAGAAATCAACTTAACAACCAGTGTTTCATGAAATGAAAGGATTTTTCATTATAAAACATCATGTTCTCCCCCATGACAGCAATTTCTCCAGAGTTGGGAACATTGTCTCAATAGTACTAATCAACATTAGTAATAAATGATGATTTACAGTTTCCTTGGATATATTTGAGTTTTGAACTTCTACTGGTTCTTCATGTAAAGATGTTAGTTTATAGCCTGTTGGGCTCAATTCTTTTCAAATGACCCCTACAGAGTTTCAGCTACCTTCCCTTGCTAGTGAGATACGCTAACCAAAGTCAGCCTCTATACACCAAAAGCATCTTTAAATGCATTGCAGAAACTAAGTTAGCCCTTGTTTTATCAGCCACGCCACCCAATATTTTCCTTCCATTTTCACATTCTCCCCTCATTCTTCTGATGATTTTAATAGATACTGGAGAATTTCCCATGGTTATGCTATTAGTTTGAATGTTTTTTCTTGCTAAAAGAAACACACCAATTAATTATGATAAAATATAAATTTAATATATTTATGGTCATAAAAGCATATAATAAAATCATACAAATAAGGAATATAAAAATTAACATCAATAACATTATTCTGTATGTTTTTTCTATCCGTGTACTTCCATTTTCTATAATGATATTTAACTGAATTTGAAAAAGTTTTTAAAATAGTAAATGGGCTTAAAGAGTAAAATACTCAAAGTTTGCAAAAAGTAAAAATTCAACAGAACTGCACAGGTTATATTGTTAATCTTTATAAATATGATGTAATAGTAATATTTTCTAAAAAAAGATAAAAGTAGCTAATGATTCAGCTATTAGGTTAGAATCAGTCATATTAACATATTCAAAGACTTTTAAGCCAATTAACAAAGTTTAAATGCTCATAATAATCATGAAAAATTTATACCAGGTCAGAAAATATTATAAACCAAAAAGAATAAATACCATAGCTGCTAGATACTGGATCCTTATTGAAAGTGGAATAACACATGATATTTAATACACATGACAAATTTTAAAATTAAGCTAATTCATTGAATTAATCTTGCAGTGCCTTACTTTCTCTCTGTATTTCTTTAATATATTAAACTCCCTTTATCATTTGAGTCACTGATTCCTCTTCCACACTATTTTAGTATCATGTGTATATATAAGAATGCAAAGGGCATCACGTCCCAGGTGAGTCCAGTGCTTTGGAGTGTTCTAATCTGGCCCTCCTCTGACGGTAGCCTTTCCTTTAAGATAGGACCTTTGCGGGAGGGGTGAAGGGTGGTGTCCAAACTAAGTCTACCCATCTTGCTGACCCACACTCTGGATACTCAGAAATAATTTCCTACCCATAGCGTCCCCAGCCTGATTACAAGGAAAGCCCTGCCACTCTACCAGGTCCACCTCCCAGGGTGACCCAAGGAAGGCCAAGGAGCTTCATGGTGGTGGAGGGCAGATGTAATTGAAGTAAGGTCAGTGAGGCAGGGGAATCATGTCCACAGGATTTTGTGATAAGTTAATGCATTTCAGAGCTGTTAATGTAAAAACTAATAATCATGGTACTCTTAACTTTTCTGGTTGATTTGAAATATACACACACATTATATAGAACACCTGTTACATGTAGCTCACCAAATAATTATGAGTATAAAGACATAATGTGGCCCAGCTACAGAGAGAGGCCTTCTTTCCACCCTTGTCCTACAGAAGTGCATCACATCTTTTTCAGAAAGTTTCCAATTTTCTAGACTTATTAATGTCCATAAATTTGTACTACTTCAACAGCACAGAGGTATTTTAACAGAAAAAATTTTAGACACCGTTTATTACATAAATGTATAACCCAAAGACTATTTTAAAAAAAAGCTAAAGCCAAATAATAAGTTAATGCTTTGTTTAGTGAAGGGTTCCCATTACAGAGGCTTTGAATACCACAGGTCATAGAGCAAGGTACAATGTATTTGTACTCCAGGTACAACAACAAAATGTAATTTGAGAAACCAGTGCTGGTTAATGCAAATCATAAGCATCCTTTCAATAAAGCAAAATTAAGTCAGTAACAAAAGTACCATAAAAGATACAAACCATAAATGGACATTGGTTAATTGATGAAACTTCCATGTATATCACATGGGTGCCACAGCAATAGAATATGGTCGTGCAATTCATTATTTTACAGATGATCATACCAGAGACCTTTTGAGTCTCACCCTTAAAAATCTCTCCTTATTTAAGATCTTAGGCTATATGTTCCTTATTTATATATAAAAATTAAAAGCATATGAGAAATGCTGTATAAATTGAAAACATGTGCATCTCCCTTTTTTAAATTATTGACTCAAAATGTTTCCTGTTCTTACATTAATGTATAGCCACGCAAATTAGCCCCACTTTAATGAGAGACAGGAGTAGCTGTGGGTTACTGTAGACGACATAGTAAGCATCTGCAGATTAGCCCAACACTTGGCAAGCTTTGCATGGCAGAAAGCTAAATGTTGATTTCATACTTACCAAAACTAAATCGACAGGAAGAACAACTTTAATTTTCCTTTTAAACTGTTCATTCAGCTCTTTAACAAGAACAAGGACTACAATGCTCAGCAAGGATAAGAGCAGTGCTTCCAGTCGAACAGATTTGATGTTTTCAAAGACATATGCATAAATCTGCAGTAAGGAGGAAAAAAAACTCAAAAAAAAGTTCAGGATCACCACAGTATATCAGCTTGGAAATCTGACCACAAATAAACTCAGCAATGTTTTATAACACCATCTTCATGGCTGGAGGTGGAGGGTAAGGAGGTAAAAGAGTTGCTGTGAGGTAGAGCACAGTATTCATTTGCAGGTTAAAAATCTCTTTGCCCTAGACTCTTCCATCAAAATCACGGTTTGCACCTTCCTGAATAAGGTCACTCCTAAAAAGGATGACTCCTGCAATACTTCAAGGGGCAGAGATGCTGTAACTCATGACTTCCATGCAGATGCATCATAGACTCCTCAACTTTGACCCCCACAACTGTTCCTCCAACCCCAGAGCCAAGTTCACATATAACCCACACACAAAGCTGTGAAGAGCTGGTATTTAACTGATATCAGATATTTGCCTTAATGTTAAATGTTACCAGGTTCTAAACTGATAGGCATTTACCTATTTGTTAATTGCTCCATACTTTATGCCATGCACAATGCTAGTCTAGGTCTAATGATTTCCATATAACCTCAGTATTTACAGAGCTCTTGATCTAGTGTAAAATTGCTAATTAAAGTAATAAATTAGTACAGCATGGAAACATAATTAAAGAAGAACCTGAAGTTTATGACTTCAGAAGTGTGAGTGCTCAAGGTAGCCCTTCCCAAAGAGAATAAACAGGAATTGGCCAGGTATAGTTGGAAGGGAAGAGAGGGAAGGAATCTAGAGGGAAATGTTCTGCCTAAATATCACAACTGTTAAACTTGGAGGACAGAATGTGAAGAGGAAAGTATATGACTTCCTGAAAACTATGGCCAAAAAAACAATATAATTATTGGTCTTTAAAAGTAAATAAGCCTGGGGCCAGCGCCATGGCCCACTAGGCTAATCCTCCACCTGCGCTGCCAGCACCCCGAGTTCTAGTCCTGGTCGGGGCACTGGGGACTAGTCCCGGTTGCTGCTCTTCCAGTCTAGCTCTCTGCTGTGGCCCGGGAGGGCAGTGGAGAATGGCCCAAGTGCTTGGGTCCCTGCACCCCCATGGGCGACCTGGAGGAAGTACCCGGCTCCTGGCTTTGGATTGGCACAGCGCCGGCCATAGCAGCCATTAGGGGAGTGAACCAATGGGAGGAAGACCTTTCTCTCTGTCTCTCTCTCACTGTCTATAACTCTACCTGTTAAAAAAAAAAAAGTAAATAAGCCTATTTGAAATTATATTAGCATCAAAGAACTTGCTCGAACTAAGAAGGCATAATACATTCATATGAATCTTGGACCTTGAATAATCTGACTTAGTAAAAAAGCAGGACACACGTAAGAATAATGTCAAGGAAAAGAATAAAGTTAAAGTTCCTTCTAAAATCAAAAGCTTATGTTCAATCAACTAAGTGTCAATAATATTTTGCTCAATAACATGGAATATTGAAAGTAATTAAATAAGTTAACTTATCTACTACCATAAAAAAGATAGGGTAAGATTTTAAATTGAGTGCTAAAGGGGAAAAACAGTAACTAGCCAAGCCCAATCTTTGCTCTACCCGAATATGCACTGAGAAAACCCATGTGAGAACACTGAGATAGCAGTCACTTGTGAGCCGGCGAGAGGTCTCAGAGGAAACCAGATCTCCTGATACCTTGATCTTGGACTTCCATCCTCCAGAACCCTAAGAAATAAACTTCTATTGTTTAAGCCACCCAATCTGTGCTATCTGTTATGACAGCCCTAGAAAACTAAGAAGAGGTATTTTTATGAAATAAAATTTCATACTTTATGTGCAATCATTTGGTCTAGTGGTTAATTTGCCAGCCAGGATAGGATGCCCACATCCCATAGCAGAGTTCCTGAGTTCAAGTTCTGTCTCTCTGCTGCCCCTTTCCTGCTGATGTGCACCCTGGGAGGCAGCTTAGGTTGGCTCATGAAGTTGGCTCCCTGGGTCCCTGCTATCCACGTGGGAGACAAGAATTGCATCACAGCTCTGTTCCGGCCCTAGCCAAGTCTCAGCTATTGCAGGCATTTTGAAGAGTGAACCAGTAGATGGGATTGATCTCTCTCTCTCTCTCTCTTTCTCTCTCTTTCTTTATCTCTCTCCCTCTTGAATATGTGATAGATAGAAATATAGATAGATATAGATATAGGTACAGATATAGATGACCTATTTTAATCTCTGTCGATCTATCTGGAATGTTATTGTATCTGCATAGGATATTTGTGCTGATCTGTATATTCCATTTTCTTACTTATAAAATGTACCAACAGTATAAGTATAAAGGTTTTTGATATGACATATAATTATCTTTAATATATTTCTTGCCTCTTTCTTGTTATAGATAGACTGAATTTGGAATTTTGTCACTTCACTTCTATTTGCCCAGAGCAGGGTTTCTGAAATCTATTTTTAGGTGAAAAACTAATTTCTAGTTGAACACATGGATTATTCTCATAGGGGTTCAACCTGCTAGTGCTCTTTGCCCTATTTGTAATCTCAGATAAAATGTTACCATAACCAAAAATATTGAGTTAAAACATTATATAGACATGTTGGAAAAACTTATATAAACATGTTTGTTTGCCTCTCTTAAAATTCTCCTAAATAGACTGCCTAAACATAGGATTCAGACCATCTGGTGCAGGGATCGAGAACATATTTGGTATGAATCAAAGGCTATACAAGCTGGAATTTTCTATACTGGACATTATCACTGACTTTATAACAACCTCAAACCAAGAAAATAAACTCAGCTAAAGACGCAGGTTCCCTGGGTAAAAGGGATCAGAGCAATGTTAGTTATCTAGATGTGCTTGGTCCATACAGTTAAAATAAGAACCACAGTAAAACTCCACTAGCTATGTAATCAGATATATTAAATAATTAGGGATGAGGCAGCACTATTTGTTATTTTTTCTCACAATATGCTATTTTATTCCATCTTACTTGGGAAGAAAATTAAGTACTACAATAGTATACTTATTTGAGATGCAAGCAATAGATTCCCCTCTGTCTCTATGTTGTGGATAATCGCTCACAACATTCCTGCACAATTGACAAAACAGGGTCCATTTCTTAAAGTTATACATTACTCAAAGTCCAGGATAAAAACCTAAAATGCTATTAAATCAAATATATTCCACAGGAAATGAAGATACAGGGGATGTAAAAAAAATTGTCAAACTGCATAGCTTGCTCTTCATTTACCATGACTCAAAGATAAAATGGATAACAATTTTCAGATGAATTGTCAGGAAAAAGCTCAACATCTAAAAGTTTTGAAACATTTAAAGGATTATTATTTTTTGTTTTTTTTCCATGGTATTAAAGTTATCCATGTCAGTGCCTGTATAAGGGAGAAATAAACAAAACTCCCAAACCATACCAAATTTGCTCTAATGCACATTTCAAAACCATGTGTTTGCAGTAATAAAAATGACCACCCTAGAATGAAAGGAATGAGGGTAAAAAAACCTAGGGTTTTTATTGTTTGGATTATACAACAGTTCATCAAGCAAAGCACAACTTTAAGATGCTCCAGAAGTATATGAGGGGTGGGTGGAGACTCATTACTAGCAACATGGAGAACACAATAGAAAAGGAGACTGGTGAGGAGTGTCGTTCTATAATTGCCATGTGGACCCATGGTGAGAAGTTTCAAGTTAAAACAAGATCATAGGAAATGAGTGGCATATGCAGACAGAGACAGAGACAGGGATAAGACTAGATATACATGCATGCACACATTCACACACAAACACATGCACCCTGCCTCACATGCTCCCTCAGCAGAATTGTAGGCATCCCAAGCACATACACAATTTCTGTTTTAATTCAACCCAGTCATCTTGAATATGCTATCTCTCTCTCTCCTTCTCTCTCTCTCTCTCACTCTCTCTCTTTCTCTAACACGCACACACACAGACACACACACACACACTACACTCCATTTGATAAAAATTTCTATTGAACATCACAATTTGCTTCCCAGGTCTCATAGAAGCAAAGATAATTTTATATCTATATGGATGAAAAAGTAATCTATTTCATCAGAACTGACCAATCTGTTTAACAAGATAGCCCATCAATTTTGAGACTATAATTCCAGTTCTTTAAACTGCTTCTTATAACTTAACATTAAAAAAAAAATACCAGGCTATCACTGTGGCACAGTGGATTGAGCTACTGCTTGAGACACCAGCATCCCATGTGGGAGTGCTGGTTTGATTTCTGGTCGCTCCACTTCCAATCCAACTTCCTTCTAATGCACCTAGGAAGGCATCAGATGATGGCCCAAGTGCTTGGAACTCTGCCACCATCTGGAAGACATGGAAGAAGTTCTTGGACCCAGGCTTCAGCCCATCACAGACTTGGCTTTTGTGGCAATTTGCAGAGTAAACCAAAGAATGGAAGATCTCTCAGTCTCTCTCCATCTCCCTGCTGATGCTCTGCCTTTCACATAAATATACAATATTTCTTTTTTTAACTTTTATTTAATGAATATAAATTTCCAAAGTACAGCTTATGGATTACAATGGCTTCCCCCTCCCCATAACTTCTCTCCCACCCGCAACCCTCCCATTTCCTGCTCCCTCTCCCCTTCCATTCACATCATGATTCATTTTCAATTCTCTTTATATACAGAAGATCAGTTTAGCATATATTAAGTAAAGATTTCAACAGTTTGCACCCACATAGCAACACAAAGTGAAAAATACTGTTTGAGTACTAGTTATATTTCTGAAAATTATCAACATGCAGAAACAACTCTATTTTGGGATTCTCAAAGAATTAAAATAGCCTATTCAAAGTATTTGTATGTGTGTCTGTAAACAGATAAATAAATATCTGAAGACTTACTAGAAATTACACACATACATATATACAAACATAATACATAGGTATTTTTTACCTACTTCAGTCATTATTTATGATCTTGGTTTGTTCAACTGATTAAGTCATAACTGGAATCATGTCTGAAGAAATTTCATATT